TTGATCTTTGCCATTTTAATTATTATATGTCTTGTTGTTGTCCTCCTTGGGTCCCTTGTTTTGGGAGACCTGTGGGCTTCCATGGTCTGAGAGACTATTTCCTCCCCCAGTTTGGGGAAGTTTTCAGCAATTATTTCTTCCAAGACACTTTCTATCCTTTTTTCTCTCTCTTCTTCTGGTACCCCTATAATGCAAATATTGTTCCATTTGGATTGGTCACACAGTTCTCTTAATATTCTTTCATTCCTGGAGATCGTTTTATCTCTCTCTGCCTCAGCTTCTCTGTATTCCTGTTCTCTGATTTCTATTCCATTAACGGTCTCTTGTGCCTCATCCAGTCTGCTCTTAAGTCCTTCCAGACATTGTTTTATTTCTGTATTCTCCCTCCTAACTTGATCCTTTAGCTCTTGCATATTTCTCTGCAGGTCCATCAGTGTGGTTATGACCTTTATTTTGAATGGAAGATTGGTTATATCTGTCTCCCCAGGCCCTCTCTCGGGGGTTGTCTGGGTAATTCTGGACTGGACCAAATTCTTCTGCCTTTTCATGGCAATAGAGGTGGTCGTTGGCAGGTGGTGCGTGTGTCAGCTTCCTTCCTGCTTGCTGGTTGCCCTTCCCCTCTCCACGCCCACTCTTGTGTCAGTTACCTGCACACCGGGAGCAGCCCTAGGGGTAGCCCAGAGTCCTGCGGGGAGTGGCAGGCATGCCAGGTTTGCTCTCCTGTGAGAACGGCACCCCTTGGCGCTCTGCCACAGCTTCCTCTGCCTGCGCTGGGCAGGCGTGTGCCGTTGGTGGCCCCTGGGTCTGGCCCGGATGTCTGTGCACTGGGAGGAGGCTCTGGGTGGCTGCTGTGGGCACGCCCACTCTTAGGCTGCTCCGCCATTGTTGCGGGGCCGTGCTGGCCGGGGGAACAAATGGCAGGCTGTTTATCGCTGTGAGGGGCTTCAGAGCTACGCTGCCTCACAGGGGGCTGGGGCACCCGAAACTTCTCAGAATTCCCAGCCTGCTGGGCCAAGTGTGCTGTGAAGATTCCGTCCAGCTGTGAGGCCCCTGTCCCTTTAAGACTTTCAAAAAGCACTCGCTTTTCTTTTGTCCCAGGGGAGCCGGCTGTGGGGACCCACTTGCAGATTTTACTTTTCCTTTTCCCTAATATCCAGCTCACCATGCAATGTGTGTGTGCGCTCCCGGTGCAGATTACTAGGGCTGGTTATTCAGCAGTCCTGCACTTCCACTCCCTCCCCGCTCCAACTCCTTTACTCCTGCTGGTGAGCTGTGGTGGGGGGAGCGCTCGGGTCCTGCCAGGCCGCAGCTTGTATCTTACCCCCTTTGTGAGATGCTGAGTTCTCTCTGATGTAGATGTAGCCTGGCTGTTGTACTTTATCCTCTGGTCTCTCTTTTAGGTGGAGTTGTATTTGTTGTATTTTCAAATATCTATATGGTTTTGGGAGAAGATTTCTGCTGCCCTACTCACACTGCCAACGTGGCTCCTCTCCCCACCCATGGCTTCTTTTTAGATATCTGTTTGGTGGGCACATTGATTAAACTATCCTTACATGTTTTATACTAAATGTTAAGACCATGTTTTTCAAAAGCTTTATTTTTTTCTCTGTTAAGTAATGTAGGTATAATTTAAAGTTTCAGTTGGGTTGATTATAGAGTCTCACTGCATTTTGATTGGGTTGGTAAAGGAAAGCTAGAGTGAATTTAAGTTTCACTTTGGAAGTAAAATACTAGGTTACAGGTCAGCTACTCCTCACCCAAGCAAAAATCTTTTTTAAAACACTTATTAGATGAACTTTTAATCTTCATTGAAATACCTCCATACTTTCAATGAAAGCAAGCTCACATACATTACAAGACAGCTCTTAACATATCTGGATAATTATAGATGATAGGAAATTCTTATATTGATATGAAATCTGCCTCCTTTATATTTATTGGCCATTGTGTTCTAACTATATAAAATAAATCTTCCACATGTAAGCTCTTCAATGTTTGAACAAACTTGTCATATTGTTCCACATTGTTATTGAACTATGATTATCTATAATAAATGACTTGTTATGCTTCCCAAGTCTGTTGAAATGATTAATGCCCTTTAAGATTAGTGCACCTGCTTAGAATTACAAAACTTCAGTGTGGTAGAACCATTACAGGCACAATGGGACTATGTCTTGCTCTAAACATATGCTTCTAGCAAGAGTTAAGGATTATTTTAGCATCTTTCTTATCTTGACTTATTTTGACTGAAACCTTCATACCTTTTATATTTTAACTGCTTTTAAGTACATCTTACCTATGTGTTTTTGTGCAGTAGGTTTTTCAAAACATATTCAGGATTTAACTTTTAGTCATATTTGATATAATTTATTCCATTGCAGCAAATCAGTATCTATTTCAGTCTTGATTCTGGTATTCTATGGACATGATTCATTCGTTACAATTTTAGTCATCCACAGATTGGGCAGGCATGTGGTCTTATCTTTGGGTCAGTAAAAATGGTAAATGACCTCTCTCTTGGTGCTGTCTCCTCCTGCCTGTGCCTCTTAACATTAGTCACTCTCGCCGCTCCTGCCCCTCTTCTCTGGCTAAATGACTGATCTCAAATCAAACACTGTTTGGCCAAGAATTTCTTCCCTGACACAAGACTAGGTCAGGTCCCCCGTTTATAGGCTTTCGTAGCACCCTGGACTTGTTCAGCTTATACATCTCATTTTGTAATTATATGTTTATTGGTGTGATTGTTGTCTTTTCCCTACTTTATCAGATGTCCCATGGTAGGAAGAACCCTGTTTCTTTCACTATTACATACCCAGAACATAGCACAGCAGCAGGTGTGTGATACTTTTTAAATTTAATTTTTAAAAAGGCCATGTAACACAGTTGCTCCCTAATACCAGCCTACAGCCATTGGTTCCTGATGTCTCCCAACACATTTGGATTAGAACAAGAAAAATAAGAACAACTGTGTACACGTAAATATGTAGTATGTGTCAGAGTAAAGTTGCTTTCTTCTTGGGAAGGACTTTTATTCTAATCTTCTGCTTTTCATGTCTAAACTGTTCTTTTTTAAATGTTTGTTAGGTTTGGGGTTTTTTGGTTTTTTTTTTTTAGTTTTGGAAACTGTCTTTACCTAGAATAAAAATAAATATGTAACACCGTGGTATTCTGAGATTTCCTAATCCAGAAATCACAAATGTTGATATCTAGAGACTTCTGTTAAGCTAAGATGTTTCTTTTTGGATATAGTTGCTATGAATGTATTTCGCTATATTTAAAATATATAATTTCATCTATAGATTTTTTTTTTAGTGGCCTGTATTTTCCTCAATGACTTCCTTTCATTTATCTCTGTAATATAATACTTACATTGCAAAGTAGGCTCAGATTCAAAGCAGTAATTGTTGGGTTTTTCTTTTTTAGTACAATTGTAGTTTTCTTATATTTAATATGACTAAAGGAATAAACCTCAAATGTAGTACATTAAACTGTAATAACCAAAAGCAAAATGTACATATTTGTGGTTATGGAGAATGCTTATTGTAAATGCTTTTATATTTTAAAGTTATATATCCTCTATTTTAGAATTAAAACTTTATTTTTTTTATTAAATGAAAAAACAGGTTTCCTGGCAAAATATTTCCTATAAAATTGTTACTATTTCACCTGCCTTATGTGATATGAATGTTAATTTGAGTTAGATAAAATGAATTATGCTTTAATAGGTAATAAAATGGAATTTCTTACGCAGGTTCAAGATGTCTAGAAATTGCAGTATGTTTTTCTTTTTTCTGTAAAAAAAGCTATTATATGACATTGTTATTTTAACCACTGGGCTTGTTTCCTTAACTATACTGTTTTTCATCTATAAAATGGTTATTATGAGAATTTAAATGACTGAATTCATGAATATCTGTAAAGTGCTAAGAAGACTGTTACACAATGGAAGTTATTTCAAATATTAGTTGCTTTTACTATCAGTAATAGTAAGATGTATATTGAATAGATATTTTCATATTCATTTAAAGAATATGTCCACATAGATAAATACTGAAAACTTACCATATTTTCTATTTTAACCATATTCTCAGTACTTAATATTCTGGTGAATCATTATTTACCAAAGGAAAAGCGTTCTGGAATAAACACATTCCACTCTTCTGTAGCCATGATATATAAAATTATATCCTTCAAGACTTCAGCATAAGTAGTTACTTTGATACACGTTTTGTGATTAAATTTTTAAGTCAATTCAGTAATCTTTTGAACACCTTAGAAGAGTTAAAAAACAAAAGAGCTAGAAGCAGAAAGTGTGAGGTGGTTAAATTGTCTAACCATTTTAATTTTCTTAGGTTTTTCAAACCAAAAATCTATTTTATTTACAATTGTGGTAAGAAATAAGTGAGATAATATATGGAAAGCCCTTAGTCTGGAATCTGACATATGGTCAGGAAATACTCTTAGGAAAATTAAATAAGGTAAACAAGCTTCCTATTAAATATAGTCACTTCAGTGCCTGTGTGTGGGGGTGGAAGTGTGTAATGGTTTTTGACTTGGCAAAATTACAGGAATTGGAGGTTCCTCACCCTTCAAATAACATAAGTGAATCCTGTTTTCTTGTTCAGCTATGTGATCTTAAGAAATGTATATAAATCTTTACTTTCAAAATATACTCATTTAAAAAGAAATTCCACCTTAGGCTTATGTTCTCCTGAACTCCCACTTAAGGATATTCCTAGTTTTTCTTTGTTTTCTTGAAGGGATGGGTATATTGCTGTTTTATATTATATGTAAAAGTAACTTTTATATATATTTGACAGGCACTATGTGAAGCAACACTTTTTCTGGATTTCAAAAGACATCATTTCATCATGGGACAGCAAATTTCAGACCAGACGCAGTTGGTTCTTAACAAGTTACCAGAAAAAGTAGCAAAACACGTCACATTGGTTCGAGAAAGTGGCTCTTTAACTTACGAAGAATTTCTTGGGAGAGTAGCTGAACTTAATGATGTGTAAGGCTTGCTCCTTTTCATTTATTTTTCCCCCAATATATGCTCTATATATCATGACTGAGTGATAACCAGAAGTATTAATTGGTAAGATTTAATGTTTTCAGCAGCAGTTAGCAAATATTTATTGAATGCCTACTATAAGACTCTCTATGTGGCTATTTAAAAATACATAATAGGAACAAAAGAAACCAAAGGAACTTAAAACTGAATTTTGAACAAAGGCATATAAATTGACTCTTGTTCAAAAGCACTTAATGCTTACATTACAAAAGAGAATGTGCCATTTAGCCAGTCTAGAGAAAAGCTCCTAGGATAGTCAGAGAGCATTCAGGTTTTTGTACAGCAACCATTCATCTAGTTAATAAATAAATAAATCTTTTGTGTCTGTTCACTGAGCCATTATTTTGCCAGAGAAAATACAAGTATAGTAATAACTCACTTGCCATCACTGAAGAGTATTTCATTTATTAATGTTTTCTAATTAGTTAACATCTTTAAATCTCTAACTCTTGAATAGATTTTTGTCTAAGATGGAATATAAATTTCTCTGCCTTCTTAAAGAGCATACCTAATAGAATTTAGTCTTTGTGAATTTATTTTCCTTTATTATGTCAATTTTTATACTGGTCTATACAGAAGCTGTTTGCTCCTGAAGGCCCCAGATTGTTATGCTTTTAAAATACTGCTTTTTTGTTTGTGTGTTTTTACCCCCGGTGACAGGTAAGTAGATGTCACTTCTTTCTATTAAGACTTCCTTTACCAGCACCTTTACACCCACCTCTCTATACACACACACACACACACACACACAAAAAAAAAAAAAAAACC